TTTATGTGTGTTAGAGAGGGAAGAAAATAATGTCGTCGGATTGGACATTTAATCATTTAATACATTAATTTGTCTTATTATAGTTATATAGCATCATAGCAGAGGTGTTGTAGAGATCGACATGAATTGTGAAGCATGTTTGTGTTTTGTATTATAGAAGTATCGTCAGAGCTTGGCTGGACTGTTGGCCCCTCCTTATGGAGCAATGGAGAGTGGATCCAGCAATGACAGTGAGTAGAGACACAGACACACACACACACACACACACACACACACACACACACACACCACACACACACACACATTATAATAATAATAAATAATAAACATTGGTTACATGGGTAAGAACTGGACCGGATGTGTCTGGTTGTAAATAAAAAATGTTAATAGTCATTTAAGCTTTGTGAAACTGTGGCAGAAAATTGATATAAGATTAATTTGTTATAAAAAAAAGTATTATAACTTGGAAAGAAAGATGAGCAATTTTATAGCAATCTTTTACTCTGATTTACTTAACAATATATTGCATATCTGTTTACTCCTGCTATGTTCAAAATACATTATATAACACTTGTTTTTCACCAGTTTTTTAAATCAATTTATCTTAAGCAGTAAAAAAAAAAACCTCCCTCTTATATCTAATCTCTAGACAATAAAACGTGTTTTGATATTCTGAAGTTTCATGAAAAGTGTTCATTTCTTTTCCTCCCCAGGACTCACAGACAAAGACAACATGAACTCCGACTCTGCAAATAAAGCTCACAACAAGGTAAATGCACACTCCAGCACACTGCAGATAAGAAAAAAATTCCTGCATGGCAACTTGATCCCTTGAATAACCCTTGCCAACTCATTTCAAAGAGCTGTGCCCTTCCTCTAGCGTGAATGAACCGAACTCACAGCCAACACACTGTGGCCCATGCAGTCTCGTTGTCTTTGATTCCTCTCGTTGCCTACTTTAGTCAGAATATCTGTTTGGAGAGGCCATGGAGAGTTCAGCAAAAGTAGTCATTATTGTCTCACTGGTAGAAAATAAAGGGCTTATTAAAAATCTTCTCAGTCCATCACAAAAAACTATATCCATTCAGTATGTAGAAAACCGAGTAGGATTACAGTAAATAGTAAAGTGATCAACAGAGCCCTGACATAGTGCACTGCTGCATACTTTTTATGTTTGTCAGTGACTCAGAATGCCAGAATGGGTTTTGAAGGTGTGTGTACTTTGAGAAGAGACAGTGATGACTCACAGCTGTGGTCCTCTGTAGTTATGCTAATGCTAGCTAATACATGCACATAGGAAAAAGGGTCCCATCTGCCCTATTAGCATGCCAGCCTTGGTTTTATACAAATGCAGCTCTTTGTGTGTGTGTGTGTGTGTGTGTGTGTGTGTGTGTGTGTGTGTGTGTGTGTGTGTGTGTGTGTGTGTGTGTGTGTGTGCGCACGGGCACATCTGCTCCTTTCTTTTTTTTCCCAAAGGTGCAGGTGTCTCTCTCTGTCGGATGTATTTGTGAAGATGTTTGATACAGTTTTACAGCCATTATTACTGTACTGTATTTACCTTGATTTGCATTTAACTCATTTGCAATGTGTTATTCAAAATCAGAGGAATTAGTTAATTTGAATGGCCTAATGTATTACGTTTTTAAACCTGGGTTCGTTTACCTCGGTACTGAGATCTGTGTTAATATTGTAGTCAGTTTGCAGCGTAGATAACGCAATCTTGGCGCATGTTCATGTTCAACTGATATATTGTCATTGGCCTGTGCTTGTCTTCAAATTGAGTTCTCAGATTTGTTTTCTCTCTTAACTTTTATCAATGTAAACATCACAGCATGGAGTCGGGGCAACTACTGCAAGTGTTGACTGAAACTATCAGTCCACCAAGTGTGCCTCTCTTCCCTGTGTTTTGCGTAGATTCCATCAGAGAAGCTTCAGAGAGCGGGGAAGGTTCTCCGCAACGCCATCCTGTCCAGAGCGCCACACATGATTCGCGACAGGAAGTACCACCTCAAGACATACAGGTAAGAGTACCTTTTGTTTGTTACACCGACTTTTTGTTTGCTCAAAAAAAAAGCACATGACAGATTTAAAAAAAAGCCTGTTAATTTTATACCTGTTTGTTGTATTGCAGACAATGCTGTGTAGGCACAGAGCTGGTGGACTGGTTGGTGCTGCAGAGTGCATGTGTGCTCACACGCTCCCATGCTGTTGGGATGTGGCAGGTGCTACTTGAAGAAGGGGGGCTCAACCATGGTAAGTATAACTTTGGCTTCTTATTTTGCTTTCTAATCATAATGTGTGAGTTCAACGTTTCCCCTCAATGCACACACAAATCAAAAACAATAGCCAGTCCAAAATCCACTCTTAGAAATTAGCAAAATAAAACATTTTAGTTTCACTGTGTGTTGTTTAATGTATGAATAAGGATAAAGTGATCATCAGAATTTGAAGTTGTTTACAGACTCACAGCGTCTCTGTCTGGCTCTAAGCTTAACATCTACACTGTTTAATTGGCAGACTAGATACCAGCATGGAAATCTAATTAAAAGACTTGCAGCAGGAACATGAAATATAGATTATAGCTTGATCGCACTTCAAAGAAAAATCTTGAATATAAAATGATCTGAGTGAAGAAAATAACTGCTGAAAATCACCAGGCACATATATAATGAGTGCGTTCTTATATTTTGTCTAATTTTAACTTGGATGTGCTGTTCGTATGTTCTTTAGTGGACCAGGAGCTGGGCTTCCAGGATAAGTACCTGTTCTACCGCTTTCTCGATGACGAGGAAGAGGACACACCGATGCCTAGTGAGGAGGAGAAGAGGGAAAGTGAAGAAGAGTTGCCAGAGACCATTCTCTTCCTCGCTCAGATTGGACCTGACGCATTGCTGCGCATGATCCTAAGGAAATCGTCAGTAACATAATACAAGACAACTAGAACTCACACTACCATAGCAACACAACTCACATAACATAATGCCAGTTAATCATCTTATATATGACTTTCTTTATTTCAGTTATGTAGATGAGTTTGAATGTAATGCTCTGTACAATCATGATAAATAATATTTAAAAAATATCTGTTGTGAGCGCAGCACTTATTTACATTACTTATTTTAGTGCAGCTAAGAAATAAAGTGTGTGTGTATGTAACCAGTTTATTCTGAATAACCTCTGTGCGTGTCTGCAGGCCCGGTCAGAGGACAGGGGATGACCTGGAGATCATCTATGATGAGCTGCTTCACATCAAGGCCTTAGCTCACCTCTCCAACACTGTGAGTCAGATGCTCCTTTTTTTTTTCTTAAAGGGACAGTTCAGGTTTCCAAAAATGCCAGTATTACATCAGAGCCAATTACTGCAGTCTTTTTGTTTTAAGACCAGAGGGAATAATGATACTCACTGTCAGCATCTCTCTTATCAGCATGATAGTACACAGTTTTACACAAACAGGCCTTTTTTGCTAGCAAGTACACACCATCAGAATCAGGTGTAATCTAATCATGTAGAATAAATTGTATAGCCATTTTCACATATGCACTCCTGGAAATATCTAGACAATTTCAGGAGAAATGTTCCTGAAGTTCCCCTGACCTGGCTGTTCAACTGAACAACAATATCAACAAAAGTGCGGAGAAGAACACAGTGCTTAACAGAAAACATAAAGCAGCAGTTTATTTACGTGCACAGACATCATTGCAGTCGCATGCATACATACTATGCACCCTGCACTGTTCACAGGATATAAATGACCACACTCTCCTACTCACTCGAAGTGAATTCTCTGAATAATATCTTGCTGCGTTCTCACATCAGCACACTCGGACTTACTGCAGACAAAATACGAGGGGGCTGTCTCAGTCTGGGGGAAAAATTTGGCTGTATGCGTTGACACAAGTTTTTCAGGAGTTTTCTTCAAGTGTGAAATCGCTATGGGAGATTCAATCTTTTATTTATAGTTCTATGGATAATAATGTAATTATTATAAATGAAAAGGTACACAAATCATATTCCAGGAGATGAAAAGGGTTCTAGATGTTTTATCATTAATATTAAAGTTATCTCCATTATCCTTTGGACATAATGTTTCTAAATAGACATTTCATTAACCTCTTTGCATGGTGCTGTTGTTATGGACTGTAAAAACTCCCAAGTCACTTTGGATATTCATTAAAAACAAACCTATGCTTTTTACTGTCCTCTTACTGCAACATTGCAGCTAAAGCCAGTATGACTTAGAAAAGTCTTCTGTTTTTTTAGGTGAAGAGGGAGCTGGCAAGTGTTGTGATCTTTGAGTCCCATGCAAAAGCTGGAACAGTGTGTAAGTTTTTCAATTGTCTTTTTTTTTTGTTCTAGAATCCTTTTTTTTAATCGTGTACAAAGTATGTAACTAGGGTGTTGGAAGTCTTACATGGTCCCCCTCCATCTGCTAAATTTTCCCCCAAATCACCACAAACTCTCAAGGATATTAAAACCTTAGCTAGCTGTGGTACAACACTTTTTCACATTATTGCCACTCTGCATTTTTTTTTTTAAGTGCTAACTTAACTTTAAGAGGGGTTTCGGTTGACCTAGTGGTAAGGCTTGAGTGTTGATGTATTCAGAGGAAGTGTAGGTCACAATGAATCTGAAAAGATGTCTATCATGTCTGTGTGTTGACATCGGAGATGAACTGTCACATATCATTTCATTGCCCTACCCCTGTGCTGCTTCTTGTGTCCTAATGTGTGCTACTCTTTCATGTCATGGTAATATGTGTTTTTCCTGGTTATCTTCCAGTGTTCAACCAAGGAGAGGAGGGGACATCATGGTACATCATTCAGAAGGGTTCAGTCAATGTGGTTATCTATGGCAAAGTGAGTTTGCTTAAATCTATTCATCCACCTGGATGCTTAGGTGTCTCTCTTTGACACATACGGGTTTATCTTTGAATGTGTTATGGATTGAAATGTGAAGCTGTTTTTGTCTGTATGACAAGACCAACAGTTTTCTCCCTGTGGGGCTGGGAAACACCAGCAGAGGAGTTGAGCAAACAGTGCTCTGCTCACTGTGACTCATCACTATGATTTAAAGGCTTAGGGGATTGAAGGCATGCACAATTTTCACACTGCTGATTTACAATCATTGTACATGCAGAGATACTCTACATTCCCATGTGTGTGCATAAACATTGATCCCACATGTACATAAACACATGCACTCATTAAACATATACACACACACACACACACACACACACACACACACACACACACACACACACACACACACACACACACACACACACACACACACACACAGATATACAAGTACAAATGAGTCATCCCAGTCCCCAGGCTCCTGAATTTTCTGATATTTCTTCAGAGCTTAAGATGAGTAATAAATTGTCCTTGTGTCTGAGCTTGTTTGGTGTTTGGAGGGTATTTATTTATGTGCGCCCTTGCATGCGTGTCTTAGGGTGTGGTGTGTACGCTCCACGAGGGTGATGACTTTGGAAAGTTGGCCCTGGTTACAGATTCACCTCGTGCCGCCTCCATCGTCCTGAGGGAGGACAACTGCCACTTCCTGCGTGTCGATAAGGAAGACTTCAACAGGATACTCAGGGTGGGCAGGGGAGATGTGCATTTAACCTGTGATTTGATATAAGAGAAGTCAGATCAAATCATCGCCTTGGTCTATACTTAAACAAATACTATTACAAACGATGAATGTTGACAAAGTCACTGCTATATCTGCATTTCAGTCACTTTATTTCACTGAACTCTTTCATGAATTTATTTGGCTCTCTGAAGCTCTAAACACCAAGTCTTACCTTTACCATGATGTGTGTCTCCCCCCTCTGGCGGAGAAGCTACATTACATTTAAAATGACACATTTTTGCATCCAACATGGAGCGATACATCTTCTTTTTTTTTTTTTATTAACGCATCTTGTTGTTTTTTATAGGACGTGGAAGCCAACACTGTGCGCTTGAAAGAGCATGAACAAGCTGTGCTGGTGTTAGAAAAAAGTCCTCGTGCCTCCACCCTGGGAAGCATTAAGTATGTGTGAAGTGTCTAGCCCACACACTTACAAGTAAACAGTAGAATATAAATCTCATTTGACTGTCTCATAAAACGGGGCTTGTGTTTTCTCAATGAAATTCTTCTTGCCTCTTGCAGGTACACTGTTATTTCAGGAACGCCAGAGAAGATTCTCGAGCATTTCCTTGAGACCATGAGGATGGACATACACCACAGTGAACCAGGTAGCCTTAAAGACCCAAAAAAAGAAACTTCATGTATTATCTATATGGTTAAGATAGATCAATGGATGATAAAGGAAAAACGGGTATATAGAGAGTAAGGCAAGAGAAATGCTTTAATAATTAATGGAAATTTGAATGACCTTTGGTGCTAATGATTTTCTCCCCTGTTGCTGTCTGTTTCCTCCTCACCTGGCAGACCCAGCTGTGGATGATTTCGTCCTCATGCACTGTGTCTTCATTCCAAACAGCCAGCTGTGCCCTCTCCTAATGGCACAATATCCTTTTCTGACTCTACGTACTTGTTTTAATAATACTTGCTGTCTGGGATGCCCTCTTGTAAAGTTAGCTGACTTAAATGTTTGTCACTCTAGCCAGTGTGTTATGTTGACAGGCCCACTCTGTTTGTGTGTATTGTTTGGTGCGTACTATTACAGTGGTACTGACAGCATCTCAGATTTTGCTGTTAACTGGTCAGTGTGGTGAAAGTGCTGAAGCAGCAGTTGACTGTCCAGCACTAATGAACTGAGCACCCTCCTACCTTCACACCTCCGTCACAAGTTGTAATCCTAGTTGAGAAGGTTTTGGGTCTTGGTCATTAAAATGCAAGTGTTTATCTACACACTTGCACTTCACTATGGCTGCACTGCTGATATCCCCTCATTTGTTCTAGAATCCAGACCACTACTCATACTGACATATATTCACTTGACAAAACAAATGGCACTTCACAAATGAGAAGCAATTTGTAACTCTGACACCCAGTGTTTCCAATTGGTACTGCAGTCCAAATTCAAAACATTGGAGAGAGCTGACTCACCCCGCCCCCTCCTCCCTGGAAGAGATGTGCCATGTTGCAGACACGGAAGCTTCAGTGTTGAGTCCTCAGGAAGTCTGCCGACCATTGAAACCAATGTTGCATGGAGGCCGAACCTGGTATTGCAAGGCCACGTGATGCCACTGGGCCGAGAAAGACTTTCTTATAAGCTTATTTGGAGAGATAAAGTGGATAACTTTTTTGGGGTACATTAACTTCCCGAAACGAACACTGAAATAACCCATTTTTAAATCATTAGTTCCTAAAATGTGTAAAATGAATTTAAGGCTGAATTCAGAGATATTTTTGTCGACATAAAGAATGCAGATTAGAGCCACTGAACTGCGACTCTAAGTGCACATGCTCAGTAATGTGAAAGATCTGGGCACTATTAAAGCAGAGGCTTTTTAGGTCAGGTAGAATAAGTTATATCTGAAGCAGTTCGCTTGCTTACTTCCACCGCTGTAACACCTGTTGGTTTGCCATGTAACTGGTCTCATATCTGGCAAACCGAGTGTGTCCAAGACCGCTATGTGGGGGTACCCAAAAACCGCCTACCTTCTCTGGTAAAAACAAATACTGACCACTCAGGATGGTAAACTTAATTTCGAAGGACTTATACTGGCTGCTGCAGTGTTGTCAGAGAAGCCAGCACTTCAACATAGAAGGTTTCCTTATTGTTTTCCTTACTGTGATGATGAAGTAAGGTTATTTTATGATTCAATCCAGTAGATATCTTACGTGTTGCTCCTTCACATCACATTTTTACTATATGTCAGCTCCTTAATCCTTTACTGCACCCTGGTGAGTTATTTCAGTCATTAGAACACGTAAGTGTGGGAGACTATAACCTCATTGAGGCATCACCCTAACCAGGATTATGACACCAGTTGCCCCTAACTACAAGTGTGTACTGGTGGCTAATCAATGGCCTTTATTTTATAACCCTGATGCTCCAAAGCTGGCTATTGGATGCTTCTAAGGTTGCCACACTTTCAAGGTAAATATCTAGATTCTGACACCAGCCCCCAGTTTTCAGAATGATCAGACTCACTTCAGACAAAAATCCCACAAAGATTCTGCCCTTAACTGGGCTAAATTAATTTCCAAATGCGTGATCTTGTCACTTGAAAAGTACAGCAGATGAGCTCCAAGCCATTACAAAGCAAAGTTGGTTAAGATCAATCGACTTTGAAGGATGAGTATTTCCACATCCACTGAGCTGTCCGTCAAAGGGCTTCACTTTCAAACTTTAAGACCGATCAGTTAAAATTTCTTCTGGCCTTCCCCCTAGTCCTGCAGGTCCTCCCAAGGTTCTTGCAGGCAGCACCAGCCTAGGTGCAAGCCAATGGTGTGCAAGTCCTTCCATATTAAGATGGCTGACTGATCTGTGCTCCAACACAAGGAGGAGTAAGATACTCTAGCCTTTCTCTGACAACTGCTTTAATCTTTAACCTCATGTGCACCTACCATGCTGCTGCCCCGCCTGGCTCTGAACAGGAGAGGTTGGAGTATGCAATCAACAGTAAGAGAAGAGTCCTCATAATAGCCCTGCGCTGGGCCAACACACACACATACATGCTTCAGGAGGAGCCTGCTGCCATCTCTTTTCTTGAGGTGAGCAAAAGCCAACGTAACAGTATATAAGAGTAAACGTCAGAAACAATGCAGAGTATAGACATGGTATAAGTGTGTTTTTTTAATCTCAATTCATTTAGGAGTTGTACGGAAGTGTATCAAACGATTCTCGGATTTTGAGAGCTTTGAAAGACCTGGTTCCCGACTTGGAGAAAGTCGTTAAATTACAGTATGTTCACTTGCGCCAGAACATCATTCTTTCACTGTGAGGCTTTTTATGGCAGCCATATTTATTGAACACCATTTTGCTTTTTGTTTGCAGATCAGAGGAAGCCAAAGCCACAAAAAAGGTACATCTAGACTTCTTTTATAACAAAACTTCACAGTGCAGTTTACAAGTTACAGCGATATGAAACTGCACATCTTCTTGTGTAATTCAACAGAAAACCCTCATACGACAGTTCAGCAACGGGGAGGAAAGACTGCAGAAAAAGCAGCCAATTAGGAATCAAGATGACAGTAAGTTATAGTGTGCGTGTGTGTATGTTTTTTTTTTTGTACTTTGCGAGGGGTGTGCCCTGAGGAGAAAGGTATTTTAACAACTGTTTGCAAGATTACATTTTAAAATGAAATGACGTCCTGCGAGATTAATCGTATAATTAAGCAATCCCTGACCCTTTCATTAGTACAAAAGTCAGACCAAAAATGTATTTGTGTGTGTGTATGTGTGTGTGTGTGTGTGTGTGTGTGTCCATGTGTCCAGTCCTACTGAAGGTGTACTGCAGCGATCACACATACTCTACGATCCGGGTTTCCGTGGCCGCGACGGGAAAAGAAGTCATCAGTGCCGTTGCCGACAAACTTGGCACCACTGATGAGCTCTTGTTGGTTCACCTCAGCTCTGCTTCTGGTGAGTACAAAGAACGATAGAAACCTGAAGGGGCAGTTCACCAGAACAGTCCCTATGTACAGATTTTCAGTATTTTGACATAGACAATGTGCACTGTCTAAGTCGAGGTCCATAATAGTGTCACTGTTGTCCAAATGTGTGAGGATTCATCTTGTTGATGATGTAAACATGACTTTCCCCATTTTCGTTCCAGAAAAACTAATCCTGAAGCCTAACGATGCGTCGGTGTTTTCTACTCTGAGCATCAACGGGCGATTGTTTGCCTGTCCCAGAGACCAGCTCAACAATATAGTAAGAGATGAAGGTTTCCCCCGTTTACTTTTTTAATTCATCATTGTCTCAATAACAATGGATTATTGTTACATTAGATTTTCTGTAGAAGTATGTTTGTGTGATTCCACCTATGTGCCTCAGGCTCCTCTTCCAGACCAGGATGGTCCCACTGCAGGCTCCATGTCAACTTTTGAGCTGATGAGCTCTAAGGACCTTGCATACCAATGACTATGTTTGACTGGGAGCTCTTCAGCTGTGTGCACGAGGTATCACGCAAGCAAACGCTAAGAACCAGCTCAGGCTAGTGGTTCAACACTGCTCTTTGCAATCATATTGTTGCGGAAAAATCTAATTTGAAATTAGTTCTGCATCGAAAACCTGCTCCCCCAACTAACGTCTCCTCCCTCTTCTCGCCAGCATGAGCTGCTCTACCACACGTTCGGCCGACAGAGCTTCAGGAGGACCACGGCCAACCTGGATCTGTTTCTGCGGAGATTCAACCAGGTCCAGCTGTGGGTGGTCACTGAGGTCTGCCTGTGCGGACAGCTCAGCAAGCGAGTCCAGCTGCTTAAGAAGTTCATCAAGATAGCTGCACAGTGAGCAAGACATGTCACACATCTATTTTGCAGACTTGTTTGAGAAAGATTCTCTTGATCTTTTCTGCTTTCACTGCATTTTCTGTATGTCTTGCTTTCTTGTATTTACCTGTAGCTGTCGGGAGTTTAAGAACATGAATTCATTCTTTGCCATCATTATGGGGATGAGCAACCCTGCTGTGAGCAGACTGAGCCAGACGTGGGAGGTAAACTTTGTCTTTTGACTGTCTGATACATGACCAGATCTTCAGTTTCCTTAAATTCTGCTGTTCAATTTTTTTTCCCTCACAGAAACTCCCCACCAAGTTTAAGAAGTTCTATGCCGAGTTTGAAAGTATGATGGTGAGTTGCATGAAATTGTATACCTCGTTGTATTTGAGGCATAGATATACTCTAAGGAAAATCTAACATTGTAAAAATGTTTTGTGTTGGTTTTTACTGCATTCCAAATATCTAAGAAATTTCAATTGTTTATGTATTTTATAACAGGACCCATCAAGAAACCACCGCTCTTATCGACTCACAGTCACAAAACTGGAACCGCCCATTATTCCCTTCATGCCCCTTCTTCTTAAAGGTATGACATGTGTCTCTGGCATGATTACGCCATCACAGAACTATACTCTGGGCAATCGTAAAATCCTTTGGCTATCATCTTACAACAATACAGTATATGCTTTGGGACAAAGGGCAACAGGCTTGTGGTGTAGCAAGAGGTTAGCGATAAAGAACTTAAGACCAAGACCTCTTTTTAAAGTGCTTTGCCTTCATTTACAGCCAAACAATTACATTAAGTAGTGAGAATGGAGTTTGTTTTAAAAGACAATATCTAAGTGCAAATTGTAAGCTGCACTATTGCAGTTTATTTGCAGACGTCTGTTTAAAATTGATGGATTCTGGATGATTGCTTTTTTGCCTCTTTTGCAGACTTTTTCTTGTATCAGATCAAATCCACCTGATTTATAAAGCACACTTTTAAAAAGGACCAAAGTTCTGTACAGTCAAGTAAATGAGCAAAAATAAAAACACACAAAAAAATATCAGTAGAAAACTCCTTTAAAAGCACATAAAAACATGAATAAATGTAAAGCTGAAACCCTAGTGGGCTGTACTCCTAGGACTACAAATGAAAATCAGAACACTTCCATTACAAAAAATCGATCCCTGCACCTACATAATCAGTAGATAGAGAGTAACTCTTGGAGAAATGTGGCTGTTTTCAAATGTAAATGTTTGTTTCCACAGATATGACATTTACACATGAGGGCAACAAGACCCTGATTGACAATATGATCAATTTTGAGAAAATGGTGAGTATCTATTCAAATTGAAAGGGCAGGTATTCATTATAGGGATGTGTTTTATGAATTACCCTGTTGTTCGCTCAAGTTTAACACAAAGAGTTACTTCTCCTTATCTTTTACAGCGTATTATAGCCAACACAATTCGGCAAGTGAGGCACTGTAGAAGCCAACCATTCAGTAAGTCTTGTCATTGCACATCGGCACATTTTGATCACACGGCTGTAAATGCATCTTTTAACCACATTTGTCTTTTCTATGACCACATTAGATCCGGACATATGCCAGCCTAACAAAAACCAAGCAGATGTCAGGGGTTACGTTAGGAAGCTGTGCGTGATCGACAACCAGAGGGCGCTGACTCAGCTCTCTTACAGGCTGGAGCCTCGACGGACATGAGCACCAGATCTTCCACCACCATCGCCTTTTCTGTAACGTTAGCATAAAAAAAAAAAAACACACACATTACCTGGATTTAATAACTAACACGGCTGGTTGTAAAGTAGCAAATCACAACTGTCAATGACTCTAGTACTATCATGGACCATTACGGATCAAGGACTTGTACTGTGCCATTAAAAGCCTCTTCCTCCCGGACAGAAAGTGTTCAGCTGCTCTCTTGTCGCTGTGTCTCATCCCCCCCCCCCCCAGACTTAGGGCTGTAACTGTACTAGTTGTTACTGTTTGGGACCTGTTAGATAGAACTGTAGTGTATAGAACTTGAATCAATATCCTGCATGACTGAACTTCATAAGCTCTGTGTTCTATACAGTGGATTTCTATCAGAGTGTCCTGTTATGTTGTGCCACCCGAGATCAGCCCTAGTTTACAAAACATTACTGTACTTGCCTGTAAATCAAACTGTACTCTCCTGATGGTCTTAATCATAGAGGGGGAAAACACATAAACCATAGTAGCCTAGACTCTTCATAACTTCTTTGGAATATACAGATTAATATGAAATCCGAAAATACTTATCCACTTTATAATCTACATGATTGTATCCAAAACTTAAAAACATCTTTAAGATTGGATGTCTAGCTAAATATCAGTGTCCTTTAATATGAAGACACTTCAAAACTACTACAACAGGAGTATTAGTTAAATTGAAGTCCTAATGGTGTTGCAAAAAGTGTTAAAAAATGTGTCGCTGCAGGATTGCGTTTTTACATTGGAGTGCAACTCTTAAAGAATAAGTCGAGTTGATAATGGTTCTTAGTATGATCTGCTCTGAGGTCAGTTTTGTTATCAAATTGTACTCTTTTTATTGCAAGCACTGATCTAGGATGTGGGGTCTTAAAGAAAACTTCTACTCTGAGGGGAAATCTTCTCGTCTATCAGTGGTGATCAGTCCGTGTGATTTTATTTTTATATCCGTGCGTGTAGATTTTTGAGTGTGGTCTTGACAAGTGTCATTGAATTTCATTTGATCTCAGGAGCTGTTAATGTGACTGTGTGTGGAGAACCGCTGTGAGGCTGGCTTTTCCTTAGAGCAGCCTGTAACTGTACTGTATGTGTGGTCTGCCTTGTAAATAAAAGAAGATAATTTATCAGTGCTAACGCTTTGAGGTCATTCTTCAAAACTTTCTTTGATTTCCAGACCATAGAGCAGGTACATTAGCATGTGCGACTTCTCTGAAACATCAGTCTCCAACATAAACACAGTAAAGACTGTTCACTACCTTAAGGAGCTTTTAACTAAATCCAAAGTACTCTGCTTGTTGAAACAGCTGTAAAATATCCTCTGTGGCTCTGGAGGCAGCTGTTTGTAGTCTGAGAATATTCCTTTACGCTTCACAAGTATGAAGTTTGAAAACTTTGGGTATTTACCTGGCAGTGAGGGTCTGCTGAAAGATCCATCTGAGCAACAGTACCATAAGGAAGTGTAGGAGTATCCCACGTTTTTAAATATTGACCTCTAGGAACCAATGATCTGCAAACCTTTTCTTACTATCGAGTTATACCAATTTAGTTTTCATAAGTCACTTTTAAGTTCCTTAAACAAAACTAACGTTTGGGACTTTTCCAAATATTTTTGCTCTCATTCTGGCAACTATTCACAACATCATAAATGTGAAGTATGGAAGACATTTTCCTTTGACTTAAATATATTTGATTGCAATTTGAGAAGTAGAAACAGAAAAATACATACACACAAGAGTCAGTGCTGTATTTCACTAGATTTGAGTGAAAAATACTGATTTCAATGCTCCCTTGATGATCTCGGTATATTTAGGGTAATTTTTCAATCTTATCATGGGCTCACTTGGACCAAACTGTCAAATTAAAAAAAAAATGTGTCCCGGACTTTCAAGGTTCTCACAAGATAAAGTTATTTTTTTCAATAAAATATAGGGTGTCCTTATCCATCATATCCCTGAAGCAAAAATGTTCCACTTGTAAACTCGACTTTTGTGACTGGCTGTTTGTTGAGCCCATCTCTTCTCTCCAGAGTCAGAATCCCACTGAGTTAGTAAACTCCATGACCTATTTTTTTTTAGCGCCTTTGGCGCCACACACTAGTGTCGGCTGTTGTACTATGGGCTGAATGAGTCACTGCTGCTTCTAGCAGCCACTACAGACCAACAGCCTTTCCTTTCAGTCATGTTTTATTTATCTCACGAATCACTGTTAGGGTTCCTCTTGTACTCAATCACTGTCCACAACTGAGAAGCGTCCCAACTTTCTGGAGCTGATCTCACATGTCCCTACTCATTGATGTCAGCACAGATAACTGGCTTGATGATGTCACATGGTAGGCCTTATTCCTGCCAGGCTGAGTAACACACTGTCACAGTCTGGCTCCTCTCATGTGTGTTTGTATATGTATAGATGTAGAGTGCATCTGTGGAAGTCACCCTTGTTTCTGGTTGATTTATTATGTCAGACATGCCATAGGCCAGAGCTGTATATCCTGTGTGTGTGTGTGTGTGTGTGTGTGTGTGTGTGTGTGTGTGTGTGTGTGTGGTGCATGTAGAGCTTTATATAGCCACCGTTATCCAGGAAGAAGGAATGCCCTGCATGCCAGTGACCATATTTGAACAGTGTGTCTGCACACACTGACATTAAATCGTAACTAACACACCACACCACACTACAACACTCAACTCCCCTTCATCTTCACCTTGTGTGTGCATGTGTGTGTGTGTGTGTGTGTGTGTGTGTGTGTGTGTGTGTGTGTGTTTGTGTGTGTGTGTGTATTGGGTTGTAGTTACACTTGATCACCACTATCAGGCAATATAATACCTCCTCTACTAATGACGGGGGGCCTCAACTTTTTTTGTCTGACGCACAGGGAGTCAGACTTGTTCTCTCTCTCTCTCTCTCTCTCTCTCTCTTCTCTCTCTCTCTCTTTCCAGCACTTTCTGGTTTCTTCTCTCTGACAACAATCTGTTCTGCTGACTGACAACATCCACTTCGACCGGGTTGAGGAAAACTCCTCTGCCCCTGATTATTTCTTCTCCTTCTTTCGCTCTGAGTGGATCTGTATAACTTTTCTTGTGGGAAGAGTCGGTGGGTTAAGCCAGCAACCTTTTGGGCTGCTGTAAGAGTCTTTGCGTGCGTGTGTGTGTTTGTGTGTGTGTGTGTGTGAATGTGCACGTTAGTCAGTATGCCATGTCGTCTCCTGGCTCGTCGTTTGTGCAGATAAAGCATGAGGACCTACTCTTCTATGAGAACTGTGGAGGTGGAAGCTTTGGGAGCGTCTACAGAGCCCTGTGGATTTCCCAAGACAAGGAGGTGGCTGTGAAGAAGCTTCTCAAGATTGACAAGGAGGTAAGGAGGACACACACACAAGCACACAATGACACACACACACACACACACACACACACACACACACACAGCAATCATAGATGTCTTCAGCAGAGACTCATTGTTTTAATATTCAAAGTACTGTATGTAGAGGTCAGGGCCTTTTCTGTACTACCCTAAACTTCAACATGAATCAGTTTCCTCTCATTTTCCTCAATTCTCTTTGGACTCAGTCCCTAACTCCCTCCCTGCCTCCCCCTCCTCCCCTGTTGTCTGCTGTTGAACATGTGTTTATATTAAACATACCTCTCCTTGTCCCCCTCCTCCTCCCTCTCTTTGTGGATAGAGCAGATATATTTATGCCAGCACTCCCCTGTTCCTCCCATTGTGCTTCAGGGCGAGGTGTGTGGTCATTCAGGGCTTTATGCACTTCAGATCAGGGCATGATACTAATACTGAGCAGGCAGGAAACAGTTTGAAGTTAAGGTGACCTGTGGGTGAGACGAATGTCATTGTTGTGGAAAAAGAGTAAAAAAATCTAATAGGGAGTGAGAACAGTATTTCTCTTACTATCCCAATCACACACTTGCAGGGTGGGCAGACATACATTAAAGAGTGTGTGTGCAGTTTATATGTAAATGCAAATTGATCATTGGCTATGAAAGAATTGCAGCTAAAACATTAACATTATATAAACTCAACTCAAAACTTTGCACACACAACATTCAGAAATAGAGGAAGACTTAATTTACTGAAGTTAAAATAGGAACACCAAACTATGAAAACTAAAGTTAATCTCGAACTTAACCTCAAAATGTGATCAATTATTAAGTGCTCGTGCATAATTGCCTGTTAGTGTTTTTTAGTGCTGTAAAATGCACAGCATGTTATTACCTGTGTTTACAAAGGAAGTAACTTATGTTTCCCTATTATGGCTTCAACAGTATGTGTAATATTTGTGATCTTCAAACAGTCAAATGTATCACTTGCAGAGAATTTTTGCTGTGGAAAAAAAGGCTGTCTCTGCAGTGTGCTTTAAATCACTTTGTCTGACACGTTACCCACGGCAACACTTTCAGATTTATAAAATAACTGAAGCTGAGAGTCTGTTGTGGTTTTGTAGGTTGTATAGAGGCATTTAGTATTAATGTGTCTGCTTTAGAACCAGCATAAATCGTCTCATAGGAGCTCAAAATAACAGTATTTCATACCTGTGTAAATGCACGTCTTTTATAAATGCGTCTTTCAACCAAACTACGTGCCAATACACTCACCTAAAACTGATGTCTGTACACTCTGATAACTTTAACTAAATGAAGAGACGTAGCGTTGGAATCAATAGTATAAATTGCTCTGATTATCTTATCTTCTATTTTTGTAGAAATACTTTATTGTCAAATTGCCCTTTTTCTTGTGTGATTTCATATTACGGATGGTCAGTTGTTTTTGTTGCCTGGCAACACTAACATTTTCCACACACACAGAGGGTATGACCTGTATGTCAGCTCTGATTAATGGCATGTTTGTCACTGCGGTGTAGAAGTCTTTATTCTGAAAGTCGACCTGAGGTATGAAAGAGGGTCAGACTGTAGTTCAGTGAAAAACCGTCAGAATTTTTTTTGAAGTGGATAACAAGTCAAAGCGCCACATTTTGAAGTTTACGTTTGATTAGTAACAATTTACACTACATTTTATACAAAGTTTTGTTTTCTTGCCGATATTGTATATCTGAAAAACAAAAGAGGATGCTAATACATTTTTCTGTTTCACTTTTTCTCTCCTCTTCATGTGCAGGCCGAGATTCTTAGTGTCCTGAGTCATAAGAACATCATTCAGTTTTATGGAGCCATGCTGGAATCTCCCAACTATGGCATTGTCACAGGTCAGACACCAGGATAGTGTGTGTGTGTGTGTGTGTGTGTGTGTGTGTGTGTGTGTGTGTGTGTGTGTGTGTGTGTGTGAGCGGGCGAGTGCTTGTGTGTGAGATTCAAGTATCCTTTCAGAAGTCCTCCCATGAACATAAAACCTGGACATGTGGTTCATATCTGATCCCTTACTTCTAGAGTTATATTTTCAAAGTCCTCTACAAATTCAGATGTTTATCACTGTCTTTTTAGCTGCAGCCTCATAACTGCATTAGGTGAAGGTCAGGTGAAGGTTAAAGGTGAGGTATGCAAGATCGGCGCAGATTGTTCTCATAACACAGTGTGTATATTTGTTTTATTAGAGTGTATTTGATCCTGGATGTGCCACTTAAGGACGTGTTAGCACATGCTCAGGTGTTTGTGTGTTTTGAAGGATTGGTGTATACTCTGAGAGCTGGTTCTTGCTGTGTTTCCTGGCAGGACATTTGAAACTGAGACCAGTATGTTTGTATGTGGTTGTAATCCTGGATGGGATCATATGGTTAGGATAAAGTACGACACACCACGCTAGACTTGTCCAGCAACCATTACTGCTGCACTTTGGTCCGATGATAACTAAAAATAAAAAGTACAGTAGGAAAAACAAGTGTCTTAGGGTATGAATGTTTGTCAAAGTTAAACAACTTTTCATCCATTTAAAGGGTCAGATTTGTTAGTTTTGTACCCACCAGACACACAAAGGAGTCCTTTGTTGGGATATAATCCTCTATGTCTTTCTCGTCTCTTGGAAATGTCAGTTTTAGCAGGGAAAAATGAAAAGTTCAAAGGTCAGGGATAATCTGGATTAGTCGGTCAGTGTGTGTGTGTGAAGGTTGTTGGTGTTTCCGCTGTGTGCAGGTCTGTGTGATAGGAGGGGCTAAACTGTTGAACTAAGAGGTCTCTGTCTTATATTTATGTTTATAATATACGTGAAGGAAGTGTGCTTTAGCTGCACCAAAAATGGATATTAGCTCTTCAATATCCTTTGTTTAAGGATGGTTAATCCCAAAATATGTTTCCAGTGTGATAGATTTAATGTAACCAAATGACCAAACTGAATGGACGTTTTCATCAGCAATTTTGTTCAAACTGACTTTTCTGCCTCACTGACGATTACTTCTTTGTATGTATGTGTGTTGTTACAGAATATGCTAGTGGGGGGTCTCTGTATGAGTACCTCTCAAGTGAGCAGAGTGAGGAGATGGACATGGAGCAGATCATGATGTGGGCCATACAGATAGCTAAAGGTAAAGCTGACATAATAATGATGGTAAAAATGGTCTCAGAGGCGATGTGCATCATCTGTATGTTACGTTAATGTTATTAGTTAGAGGAGAGAGGAGCTGAGTCAGAAATAGTAAATAAATACTATTCATTTGGGTGTTACCAAACATAGACTTCATTCCACCATCAGTGTCCCAGCTGGGCCTTCCCTAGTCAAAGCAGTCTGAGTGAACACACCTCTGCTGAGTCGTTTCCCACTCTCCTCATCTTTGACCAGAATTAAGTGTTTACACAACAATTTTCATCATCCTTTACCTAACACCAACATGGTATTACCATATTACCATTTTTAAGGTCAATGTTACAGTTAACATTTATTACCAATGAACTAATAGTCAACTATTTTCAACATGAGGAATGGAAATTGCAAGTTTCATCACAATTGGAAAACTATAATGATTGTTTCGACAAAAATGCAATATTAACTTCTAGCACAAAGTCTGCTAGGAAGCCATTTCTATTCAGTTGAATTCAAGAATTTTGTGATCAGTTTGAGAGGATTATGGGAAAGAAGGCTCATTTAATCTATTTCATAATATTAAAAAACAACTTAAATTTGATGTGATTTTTTTTTTTATCAAACTCCTCAAGAAATAAAATCTTTTTAGGGGTTAGCCAGGTTTGTTTTGTTTACTGAATATTTTCTCTTACAACAGCATAGCGTACATTCAGCCATAAGCTGTGTGTGATGATCAATCTTTATATTGAAATCCAAAATTTAAATGGATTTAAGACAGGGTAGTTAAATAGCCTCTTTCTCAGCAGTCTGCATATTTCTACATGCTGCAAGAGGTGTCTTAGAAATAATGATATTGATGAATTAACTATTAATATAAATTATAATATTCATTTGACCTGTAGAAACATTGGTTCAGTGGGTTCTAGTTGCACCTGTATCCTGTGGCTTTCGTTTTACCTCAAACAGATTTTTACTTAAACTATAGTGCACTAAAATCTCACAAATCCTGAATGGAAATATCAACCAAACCAATTAGAATAAAATCATTTGTTTTTACCAGTTATAAATGCCTCTCTTCATCTCCCCACAGGGATGCATTACCTCCATGCAGAAGCTCCAGTCAAAGTAATTCATAGAGACCTGAAGTCACGGAACGGTAACACACCAAATACATTTTGATTTGTTCATCAAGTGTGCATCTTCTAGCCAACATTATATTGTATCACTATCTTATCTTACATCTGTTAATCTGCTCTTTCGCACTCTTGCAGTGGTGATGACAGCAGACAAAGTGCTGAAGGTTTGTGGCTTTTCTTCAGGCACAGAGATTCACATACAAGCATTTTTTTTTTAAATTCAGTTCAATCAGTTTGGTAATTATGTGCTGTCTTCTTGGTTCGCCCTGTTGGGATTTCAGATTTGTGACTTCGGGGCGTCAAAGTTCCTGTCGCACACGACCCATATGACAGTGGTTGGCACTTTCCCCTGGATGGCTCCTGAGGTTATTCAGAGTCTGCCTGTCTCGGAGACCTGTGACACCTACTCCTATGGCGTGGTGAGCTGGCACTGCCTGACATACAGTATATCTGCAATGAAACACACATATAGGAATAAGTACTAAAAATGGTCAGGTACTGACAGCTGGAATTAAATGTTGCTCAAATTTGTATTTTTCTTTGTCTTGGTCTTTTAATCTATATAAGAGGTATCAGTAAAGTACTGTTTAGTAAAAGTATCTGCAAATGTATCAACAGTATACATTGAACTATGGACTACATTACTGTGTGATGTTTAGATGTGACTTATTATGTGATATAAAGTGTGTGCAGTGACTACCAAATTATCAAAGAAATCCTTTCTATCCCCATGAAGTAACAACGTCTGTTCTGTTGGTAGGTGCTGTGGGAGATGCTGACTCGGGAGGTTCCTTTCAAAGGATTTGAAGGGCTGCAGGTTGCATGGCTGGTGGTAGAAAAACAAGAGGTAACCCCATCCTCTAACACACACAACACACACACACACACACCACACACACACACACACACACACACACACACACACACACACACACACACACACACACACACACACACCACACACACACACACACACCTTTGTGAACACCACTGTCAGCATGTAGATGTACTAGAGGGCTGCAGGTTGCATGGCTGTCGGTAGAAAAACAATGGGTAACCCCCTCCTCAAACATACGCACACACACCTTTGTGAACACCCCCGTCAGCATGTAGATGTACCAGAGTCTGAGACGGCTGGAGGAACAATGTGATGCTCTCATGGTTTCCACTGCGAGCTGGTGAGGCTGAGGCTGGGTATTTTTAGGCCTGATGTCAGTTCTCTGCTCTTGTAAGGCCTGGATCCACTGCAGTGGAGCTCAGCCAGACCCCCCCCCCCCCCCCCGGCTAAAGCCTTTACGAGAGAAAGAGAGAGAGAGCGATGAGAAAAAAGGAAAAGATTAATAGGGACAGTTGATTCAGGAGGTTTATGGGAGTTGGGGGAGTGACTGTTGGACTGTATGTGTTTCAGTTATTGACGTGTTTGAATCCCCTGCAGCAGCCTCACATAAAAACACACAGGCACATACAAGGACCAACAAACAATTCTGGGAATATGATTCCTGCGTAGCTCTTGGCTTATCTCCAAATACTCTCCCTAAATAACTCCCTCTCTCTCTCTTTCCCAGTCTCCCTCTGATTTTCCCCTCCATTGCTATACCTTGCTTCCTGACCCTCTTCCTTGCCCTCCCTCAACTCAGAGTTGGTGATATTTTAGGATTAATCCCCAGAGAACACTGTTTCCATGTAGTGCGCTGCACTATGTGGGGCTATCTGGGCTCATTCAGACCTTTGAAGATGCCAGGGGATCTATAATGCAGGGACATTGTGTTGGTGGATTTACATTAACTGCAGTTTAATTGTAAGAAAGAAAAAAAGTGGCCTCACATATTGTAGCTTTCTTTGTTTTAAAGACCCTGATTTTTTTTTTTTCTGTTAAAGACTTCTCTTATCTTCACTGTGCCTTTGTTTTTATCTTCTTGGTAGTGAGTCGTAGTCAGCGAGGCGGCAGCTATGGGGCCGCTTGCTTGTCCTTCAAGGCTTGTCAAACCGAACTAATGAAGCCTCAACAGTCCTAATGAAACACGGTCACTCAAGCAGCTTTTGAAGAAGATGAACTTTTGCCATGCAATTAGTTTCCATTATGGTGAACAGAAATAACTTGAGTGATTCCTTAACTTTCTCTTTTGATCCATAAATACAAGTAATATGCTACTTTGATTGAAGAACAAACACATTTGAGTGTATTTAGCCTATTAGCAGTAGCAGACAAACAAGCTAAACTAAGATGTTGCAAACGGTCAACAGTGTACCTGCTAAACATCAGCATTAAAGCACTGTTGTTGTGTTCAAAATCTTGATTGGATTGTAAGCGTTAACATTTGTTTTTACCACAGTACACAGTGCAGCCTCCATCACAACGCGTTCAATTTGCATGCAGTATGCAAAAACGTTGGGACATAATGAAAGTCACAACATTAGGCCATCAACTTTTGCCCTCCTGTTCTTACAGTACATCACAGCCAGCAGCACAAGGTGTACATATTGTTGAAGAAATAGTTGCCTTGGATACGATATTAAAAAGCTCTGCAGTTGATGTGATTTATGTTTCTTTTTGCTGAAAAAAATGCAAACTGTCTTGAGTACTGTTAAATGTTAAAGGTTGTTGTTGTGCATCTTGTTTTTCCTTTTTTTTTTTTGCATACTCGATTGACATACATGCACCTGGACTTCAATCTTTATCTGGTGTTCTAAAATAGTTTTGTCTTGTTTTAACTTGTTTGGTTTGGTCTTACTGTATCTATACATTTCAAAATTGTATCACAATCTATTGAGATTAAAGGCTTCTGCTTCTTTTGTTTGCCTGTGTTTGTGTGTGTGTGTGCGTGTGTGTGTGTGTGTGTGTGTGTGTGTGTGCGTGTGTGTGTGTGTGTGTGTGTGTGTGTGTGTGTGCGTGCGTGTGTGTGTGTGTGTGTGGTTATCTAGAGGCTGACCATCCCCACTAGCTGTCCAGCAAGTTTTGCAGAGCTGATGAGGAGATGCTGGCAAGCAGACCCAAAGGTAAGCTTAACGAAAAACAGATGCAGTTATTAATGTCCTCAAAAAATGGTCTCTTATACTTTCAAAGACTTAACAATAAGTGTGTGCTGGTTGTTCTTCCTTGTGTGCATGCGTACACATACAGGAGCGTCCACAGTTCAAACAGGTGCTGGTAACCCTGGAGACTATGGCCAACGACAGCCGTCTACCGGACCAGTGTAACTCTTTCCTACATAACAAGGACCAGTGGAGGTACACACACACACACACACACACACACACACACACACACAGACACATAGACGCAATGTTTTGTTTTTTTGACAAATGCATTCAGTGGCTTACTGCACTACAAATAAAACTCAGTATGCATGTACAAAATTCAACATAGCTATGCACGTGCCAGCATGCACACACACATGCATACAAACACAGCTCTGTGGAGTCTAAAGCTCGGGAGAGAAGTTGAATGTGTGACCCTGTGCTCTACTTCAGTCTATAATAAGCTCTCTGGAAACAGTCCATGGAAGAGATTCCTGCACTCCTCCTCTTTGCCCTCGCCCCACAGCAAGGAGGCAACAGAGGGGATGGGGGAAGAGTGGAAGAGAGAAAGAGGAGAAAACCAGCTTGAGCTGAAGACAAAAAGTTCAGGGATGACCAGAATTGTATTGAGTGAATATGAAATCTAAAGCACCGAAAAATGAGAGAACAAAAAGGTTTGTGGGAAGCCAAAGCGGACAGATGATGCGAGAGAGGGAAAGAGAGAGCAGAGGAGAGAAGGTGTGAAATTCTGTGCATATTTAACATGAGTACGAGGCAATCAATTCTGAGTTTTTGGTATGGGTGGAAAACTTGGGCAAGGGGAGGTGGTGTGTGTGTGTGTGTGTGTGTGTGTGTGTGTGTGTGTGTGTGTGTGTGTGTGTGTGTGTGTGTGTGTGTGTGTGTGTGTGTGTGTGTGTGTGTGTGTGTGTTGAAGGAACACAGATGGAGGTATAGCTGTGCGTCAAATCTGTCTATATTTAGTTGCCTTGAGTGTTCATACCAGGTTCATAGGTCGTCACTTACTTTAACAGTGCCCTCTTGTGGTAACAAACAGTTCTTCAGCTCAATATTTACATCTCTGAAACTCTTCTGCAGGAACAGCTTAGTATGTAAACATTTGATGTCATGTTTGATAAAAACACTTATTAAAAATGTGCATTTTAATTTGCCAATGTAATCAGAACTGCAGACTTTTAGAAGAAGTCAAATAATTGAAGTTACAATTAAAAACATTGATCCACTTCCACAGTTTGTAGTAAATCTAACCATGATTTGTGTTTGTGTGTATTCCATGAAGGTGTTATGATTATGTGAACTCAAAAGCAGAATACTGACATATGTGAACATGCTCTTAACGCAGTTACTTTCTCACTGTGGATGTCGGAAATATCAAAACTAATTCTTGTCACTGAAACTATAAAAGAAAAATATTGAACAGCATTGAAGAGTGGTTGACTTACCTGCAAGAACACATGCTTTGCTTCTTTCCTGTTATACAAAATATATTGTATGTGTTATTTGATTATATATAATTCAGGTAAAACTTGCACGTTTGTTGCAGCTGCAGAGCTTTGATGGCAAAAAAAAAAACTGCCAGCCCAAACTGATAAAGACATCAAACCTCAGTCATAAGTCAAATGTATCCTTCAGTGCACACTGGAGCAAAAGCAAGATGGTGTTAGTCGTGATACTGGACTGTCTATTTAACTAGTAAAGTAACCTTGAAACTATGCCCAACTTCATGCACAGTTAAACAGATATTCTGTCTGTGTCTGCACATCCAAGGTGTGAAATTGAGTCGACTCTGGAGCGCCTTCGAAAGCTGGAGAGGGAACTTTACTCCAAAGAGAAGGAGCTGGAGGAGAGGGAGCGGAGGCTCAGACTGTGGGAGGAGAGGCTGATGGAGAGGTCCAACATGAGTCCCAGTCCAACATCCCTACTCATGGAGCGCTCAAACATCTCACCAGTAAGTTGCATGGGAGTAAAGGTTAATCTCTTTAGGCAGCTGAAGCAAAAATCAACCTGGACTTCTTGGCCTCTTTGTGATCCCCTCTCATTCCCCTCTCTCTCCTCTCTCTAACATTTTCAGTTCTTCACACCGATGTCTATCGGTTCTTCCGGCTCGTTCTTCCGCTCACACTCTCAGGACTCCAACAGCGCCGGGCTCAGCAGTGCTGGGGTCAGCAGTGCTGGCGTCAGCTGCCTCCTCCGCACCCTCAGCAACGGAGACACGGAAAGAGGGAGCAGTGCAGCGCTGGAGAAGGGGATGGGCTCACTTGACAGCGGGAGGCTGCACGCCATGATCCGAGGTTTGCAGGGCAGGTTCGGAGATGAGGATGAGGAGGAGGAAGAGGAGGAAGAGGAAGGGACCCTGGAGGAGAAAAGATGGGGGCAGAGGGAAAGGGATGACAGTGGAGGAAGGGTGCAGGTAACACTCAGGAGCTTCCCAGGCGGTGTAGTGGAGAGGGAGGAAAGGACGTGGGGGGACGGGGACAGGGAGAGAGGAGGGATGCAGAGGAGCAGGGTGACCACCATAGTCCGAGGATACTCAGGTGGGTTTGGAGAGGGGGAGGGGGAGAGGGAGAAAGAGGGAGGGTGGGAGATAGAAAAACTTGGGGATAGGCTGGAGGAGAGAGGGATAGAGGGAGGAATAGAAGGAGGGAGGCTCCCAACTATGTTCAAGGGTCTCCACGGGAGTTTGGGGGGCTTGGGGGACATGCTGTCCTTAGATATGAATGACATGGGGGACATGGAGAGGATAGGTGACATAGACATGGACATGGGTGACCTGGGAGTCATGAAGGTAGTGGGTCAAGGTGTCAGGAGTGAGGCTGGGGTCAGGGGTCGCAGGACTGACATGGGAGTCATGGTCCAGGGAGTAAGAGGTGACCTCAGCCAAAAGATTAGAGGTGAAGTGGGAGTCCTCGGGCAATCAGGGGTGCAGGTGAGCATGCGAGCTTCGTCCAATCAGAACTCTGTGAAGAGCTGCAGCGTGCGGCACGGAACCAAGATCAACATGTCCTCTGCAGCCAGGGACATGATGGAGCTCGACTGGTCTGATAGTGACTAGAAAACAAAAAAGAGAAATACACACAGAAAAACACACAGAGGCCAAACTAGACAGATTTTGTTTCAGTTTGTTAACACATACAGTATCTGAGCTGCAGTATGTGCATTAGAATCTTTGAGAGAGTTGAAAAAGAGCTGGTATACACACTTTTTTTGGTATTTTTTTTATTGAATGGATGAATATTATACCCATGTGTACTGTGAAGTAGGAAGGAGAATGATACGAAATTTGCCTTGTCATTTTGTCAGAATGACTTCACCTGTGTAATTTAACGTGCTATTAAAACTGCTGCATAACACACTGTAAGAGGTACAAGTGAAAGAAAAATAACACACTTGAATGCCGCTCTACTGAGGCAGCACGGTCTGATATTTTTTTCCCCGCTTAGAAAGTATCTCTTAGTTTATAGCTTTGATTTGTTCAGAACAAGCTCAGTTCTAACTGTGATCTAGTGTGTGAATGTTTGGCATTTCTTTCTGTATATTTTATCGTTTTTCAATAAAAAGATTATAAATTTTCTTTTCATTCCTGCTCTTCTTCTCTGCTAGAGTTAGCCCTATCATCCAGGACATGTATGTATACATTTGAGTCTGTGTTAACTTTTATAAATCAAACATGGACGACAAGTTTTAACACATTGTACAAACCTACTTTGTCTCATAAAAATCGAATTCCTGCTAACCTCACATTCCTAAAGTCCCCATCAAACACTGAGCAGCAGGGCGACTCCTGCCAGCACCCACTTGGCTGGCCTCTCCCTGGTTTTTAGGCTAAAAGTCCATACATATGTAGGTCCTCTGATCTTAGTCTTGTAGAGGGGACACTCGTAGATATTCCTGGTCTCCTGGCGGTCATTGGGCACAGCTCGGACTGAGATGACAGGCATGGCCGGGGTCAGTTCCTTCAGACGGGCCTCAGTGATCACACCAGCCTGAGTGTCCCACCTTGCACCTGCAGCAAACACAAATGTAGAGAAGAGGAAAACATGGTATATCTTTTTTTTTTTTTTACCATTAAAAAAAAACATTTCTTAACATGTATGACACCATTTCATTCACAGAGGGAGAAGTTAGCTTTTACTCAAATTCCTAAAGATTAATTGCAGAAAATGTTCTTTCAACCTTCCATGTAAAGTCCATAAACGTATGCCCCTTCCCTGGCAGGCTGGTTGAACTCTTCCTTAAACTTCTTGGAAACATCCACGGTCAGGTTCACCTTATCAAGGGGCCACTCGTTCTTCCGTGCCAGAGACTGCATCACTGCTGGAAAGCCAGGCCAAGACAAACAAACAAACAAACAAATAAGACACGGAGGACAAATGAGATAAAAACAACAGATGGCACAAGTGCAAAAAAGATTTTTTTTTTTTTTTTTTTTAATGATGCCTGGGTTTTACTCTTATATGTGAGAGAGTAAAGAACGTTTGATACCTGTGAGGAAAGGACTGAGGGTTGAAAAGTCCGGACAGCCAGACGACACTGGGCAGAGAGAGGTCCTGAGTCCAGCTGTCCAGCTCTTTACAACGCTGCAGCACATCATTATACCTGACACAAACACACATACGTGTACTTAGATCATGTTTTGGACATTATATAGATTTTAATTAATTTCCTGGAGAATCCATCCCCTACCCTCAACCAATCACTCCAAATATTTAGTTTCTCAACTGGGGACGTGGATTTTATCCCCTATAAAAAAAACAATTCTTAAGTCTGAAATGTGTACTACAAAGTAGGCTTAGTCACACCAACAAAGAGAGGAGAAGATCTGAAGATAATGTCAGAGTTCTGTCTGCACACTGTAAAAATGGCACATGTATTTCTGACAGCTTCACTAATAAGCAGTATAACTTATAGTGTCCTAAAAAGCTTATTTAAATCTATAGTTGATAAAACAAAGCAAACGGCAAACATAATAACAAAAAATTTCCTTTTTCTGTTCAAAAACTTAATAGCTGTTTACATTTAGACGCACTGACAAACATGTCACACACACAAACACAATACCATATTGACAGGCTGTAGGTGGAGGGGTAGGCCAGTTTGGTCCAGGTATCAGGGACGTTGTCAAAGAACAAAGCAGTCTGCAGCTTCTCCATCTCAGAGGAGATGGCCAGTTCACCCTGTGACGGACATATTAAACTCTTACTTCACAATGACTACGAACAACTATGGTGCTTTATCTGGCAAATTAACATCAAATAATTATTTGTACATTTGCGAGTCTGGTATAACTACTTTTAAAAACAGCTGCTCTACACTTTTTAAACTGCAGCATATGCCACCTGATCAGATAAAATAAATCTGCAGGATGGATTAATGTGGTGCTTCAAAAGACTCCCGTGTGGCAAAACAGGAAGAGGGCTTTTTATTCTTTAAGTGCACACATAGCTAATGATAAGGATAATGGGAGTACTGGGAGATGTCTTTATTTGATTAGCACTAATACTAACACCACCACTGCTTTGGGACAAAAAAAGCAAATAATCCCTTCAACTCTGGCTTCACACTTTAGTCAGCAGTAAGACCAGGGTATAAGAACATTTAGATGTTGTTGAAATGTATAGGAACAAATGTAGAACAAATTGGTTCTACCTTGAGTCCTAGGTCCAGCTCTTTGAGCGAGCGGCGTATCTCGGAGATGAGCATGTTCATGCGTTCACACTCCTGAAAGCAGACCAGGATGTACGGCGAGCGTTCAGCTGTCTTAGAGGTGATGTCAGACATGTTGTACTCTTCTGGAAGCTTCTCAATCACCTCATCTAAAATAGTTTTCACCTGAAGGAGTGCATGTCATTAAAAAGTAGGTATGAAGAAGAACATTTCCTAAAGTTTCCACATTTAGTTTTGTAGTTCTCTAAATGTTGTATCTCAAGAGATTGAATTCAGAGATGAAACTTTTAAAGACCCCTCTGTCAAAAATGGTCACATGTTGTGTCTCTATTTTGTTTTTGCCAGGTTCAATCATTTAATATCCATCAGTAACAACCCTGATTCCATAAAAAAAAAAAACATCCTGTTGTGTAGCTACCTTCTCCTCCAGGGTCTGTGAGGCTCCCTCCCCCATCACAGCATCCGGAGACTGCAACTCCAGCAGAGTGTGGAAAAGGCTATCCGACGTTACTGTCAAGAACTCAATTTCTGCATTGGGGTGTAACCCATAATGCACTGGGCTCTCATGGGGCAGCATCTCATCTATGAAATCATGGTAACCCTGGAGACGTAGGGAGAGAAAATGATGAATGTTCCATCCATTAATTCCTGTCATCTTCTCATTAGACTTGCATTTAAATTCATAAATCTCTTGAAGGTTTCAAAGCCACACGTAAATGATATGGACTACCCTGGTTATTAAGAATTCAACATCAGCAAGGTAAGACATTGAATGTTACAAATTCACACAATATCTATCTCTCTTGTTACCTGGTAGTCCAGGTTGGAGGGGGACGAAAAATCCTGGAGTCAAAGCAAGCTTTCGGTCAAACTGGGCAACAAAACAACATAAAGGAGAAGTTTTAGCTCTCTTACACAGAACAAAACATGAAATTACTCCAACTCAAGCAGCCAAAATTTCAAACTCTTTAATTTTTATTTGCAGTCTTTCGCCCATAACAAGCCACTCTGCTGCTAACTAGAATCAATTCTCATCCCCAAGTGTCCAAAGTCTACTCCAAACCCCCCCCCCCACCAAAAGCTTACTGACACTGCCAAAGTGTTTGTGGCAAGATTAAACTTCATTAGGGATCCCTTCATAGCTACACTAAATTACCTCCAAATGTATTCCCTTTCTCGTTCTTGGATAAATAAACAAACCTGGTTTGGCTGCATGTATTCCTCCAGATAAGTTCTGCAGAGCCGCCTGTCCCAGTCATCAGTGATGTGTCCTCCATACATGATCTCACCAAACAGATACCTCAGGTCCTCCCATGGCACCTTCATCAACATAATCATTACCAAAATCACTGCTAGTACAATCATCATAATCATCCCCTTCATGACATGCTTCCATGAATCACCCTGTGGCAAACACACACATGCTCCTCCCTCCCAGTCCCCAATGCAGCATGTCATTCAAACACAACATCAACAACACACACTCCACCTGTGCGTTGGCCTCCAGGTAGTTGTAGAGGACGTTAACTGATATGGTCAGGTCTCCAGTGTTGAAGGGATACTTTCTGTTCCAGCCCTGCGGTCCAAACTTCCTCCGCTCAGCTACACAGGCGTGAAAGTAACACAGAGAGAAGAGGATGGTCTTAAACTCCTGCTCACGGCTGCACTGGTCCAGGATGTCCTGCAAAGATACAAATGAATTAATAAAAGAAGAAAAAAAACCACACCATTTACACAAAGCAGACATTAGACACCCACCTGGTCAAAGTTATCCAGAGCTGCATGCAAATTAGCATGCATGCCTGTAGGAGGTTCATTGGTGATCTTGATTGCGTTTTCCAGAATGCCCTGAGGGAAATCACCACATCAGTGATGTAATACTGTATGAGTGCAGGAAAGATACCCAGGAGGCTTTGTTGTCTATAATTGATGCCTTAAGATGCCCTGACTGCATGTGAGGTGTACCTGTGGGATAATATGTTCCTGGGGCGTTGGTGCTGGCTCAGCGCTCATAAACACTCTGTAGTCGGGATGGCTGCCTTCAGAGCAGCGCTCGAGCAGCTTCTCAAGTGAACCCAGCCAGCGAGCAACCAGGTGAATGTTCTACAGGGATGGGAATGAAAACAAGCAATACAAATATAGTTTAGCATAGAAGGTGACAGTGGGAACGCTTAAGTATTGCAAGTCGAGAATTATCAAAATTTCCAAGAACACTTGAAATCATATTTGTTTTCTATAAACTAAATAAAAACACCTACATTTAAATCAAATTTGAAGTACTCTTAACTGTATTTGGCAAAATGAGGCAGGTAATCATTCAGTGTAATATTTATAATCTTTGATACATTTCTTCTACTTCTATTAACCCCAATATTCAGAGAAAACACTCTCTTCTTATCAGACCTGCAGTATAACCCAGTGACCCTCCTTGGAAGCCTTTTCCATGGCAACCTCAGCCACAGCCTCCTGGCCCTGGCCCAAGGACACGTTGTGAAGCTTCCCAAGGTCGATGGTGAATCCCAGCTTCCTTCCTGAGAACATGAAGATTTAATTAGAAGTCACACTCCCACTGAAGTGTGTCATTAATTGACCAATTATTATGGTTAGAAAGAAGTTTCCATATTTTTAAACCCTTTTCTTTGTATTATCTACAACGTGATCATTCTATTGTCATAACACGACAAAGAATATGAAGTAATGACACTTTTTTCTAAAAGCCCAAATGGGACACTTCTTCACAAATTAAGGAATGATGGCATAAACAATTCAAACCTATAAATATCTAGTAAATATACAAGCAGTAAAAAGCTTTGAGTATGTATCTGTCTTTGTTTAATTACCCAGTGATTCCACATCCTTCAGAGGGTCTACTCCAGGGGAGAGGATGAAGAACACAGGAGAGGCTGG